ACCACGAGTGTGATATGAATGGACCTGTCCCTGAGGGACGTTCTCATGTAACAAAGAAGTAAAAACACGAGGGAGTTTAAGGCAAAGTGAGTCTACACGAGAGACACGTTTGGGCCCAAAATTGGTCTCGCGTGGTCGGTGCCCCTGAGACCCCGAGCCCCGGGCCAGAGGGGCGCAAGGGCACCCGCTGATGGCTGAATTTTTGGCTGGCGGTGGCGTGGGGCGGCGGTGTCCAGGCCGCGCCGGGGCCGCCGCGGAATATGTCAGTGTCGCCGAGGGGCCTCCCTCCCTCCTCCTGGCCGTCCCACTCCCTCTCCCTCTCTCGCCCTTATAGGCTCCTCAAGACAGCCCAGCCAAGGGGAGAGAGAGAGAGAGAGAGAGAGAGGAGAGGAGGAGGAGGAGAGGAGGAGGAGACTTGAGGCGGCGACCGGAGGGGGAGGGCAGAGGAGGCCCGCATGCCTACGGTCCTTCGGAGAGACGCCCCCGCGGGCAGGAGCCTTTGCAGGACACGCCCGGAAACGAAGCCTCGCGCCCATTAACAGTCGCGAGAGTTGTGAGAAATGCGGGAATGAATCTCCCTCCAGCCGGCGAGGGAAGGAAGGCTCAATTGCAGATGGATTTGCATGCATATATATTACCCGAACGAGACATCAAAACAACCTTGATTAGCGAATCCAACGAAGCAAGGCAAGGCAATGAGTGGATTCCAATCAGGTCATTAATTCCGACTCAAGAATCGTTTTTGGTCGAGAATAAACCACCCTTTTACGCGCTCCGGAAATATGGACACACACGAGGACACACAACAAACGCCTCCTCTTGCTGTAAATAAAAAAAAAAGGGAAACAGAAAACGAAAAAGAAAAAGAACAAAAAAAGAGGACGAAAGAGCAGGGGGAAAAAGGTGAAATAAAAAGTTTAGTCGAGGGGGATGCTGGGCCGAAAAAAAGGGAAAAACAAGATGGCGGAGAACCTTTCAAAAAAAAGAGGGAAAAGAGAAAAAAAAAGAACCATCGAATTCAAAAAAAGAAAAGACACAAAATCGAAAAAAAAAAACAGGAGAGGAACGGGAATGAAAAAAAAAAAAAATAAAATCCACCTGGAATTTAATAAAGAAATGTGAGTTCACTTAGCAAGAGAATTTACGAAGGCCCATAGCTATTCCAACTGCATATAATTCCTCCTCTTCCAACCCTCTCTATTATTCATATTTACTCTCTCCCTGCTTTGTGCACTTGTTAGCGCTTTATCTTTTGGTTCCGTGATTCGTCGTCCATTTACATGTTACGTATTAGAGTTTTTTTTTTTTTTTTTTTTTTTTTTTTTTTTGAGTGTGAATTTGCGGTGTTTATTATTATTTGATTTTGGTGGGGTTCTCTTCTTCCTTTCTCTCTCTCTCTCTCTCTCTCTCTCTCTCTCTCTCTCTTCTCTCTCTCCTCTCTCTCTCTCTCTCTCTCTCTCTCTCTCTCTCTCTCTCTCTCTCTCTCTTCTCTCTCTCTCTCTCTCTTTCCTCTTCCTCCTCTTTCATTCCTTCTTTCTCTCGATACTTAGTTTCTCATTTTCCCGTTCTCCTTATCTGTCTTTTGCACGTCACTCTTCTCTTCCGCCTCTTCCCTCCTTTCTGTCTTTTCTCTCTTTCTCCTTCGTTATTCCCTTCTTTATCCACTTTTCCCATGCACACTTACACGTTCTGCTTTTGTCTTTTTTTCCTCCTTCTTTCTCTATCCTTCTCCTTTTCTCTTCTCCTCTCTCTCATCGTCTCCTTCGTCCTCTTCCTTTTTCATCTTCTTTTCTCCTCCTTCTTCCTTCTCCTCCCTCCTCCTCCTCCTCCTCCCTATATCCTCCTCCTCCTCCTCCCTCCCTCCTCCTCCACCACCTCCCTCCTCCTCCTCCTCTCCCCTCCTCCACCCCTCCCTCCTTCCTCCTCCTTCCTTTTCCTCTCCTTCCTCCTCTTTCCCTCTTCCTCCACTTCCTCCCTTCCCTCCTCTCCTACCTCCCTCCTCCCCCCCCTCTCCTCCTCCTCTCCTTCCACCGTCTCCCTCCTTCCCTCCTTCCTCCTCCCCTCCGGGCGGGGCGGTGGCGGAGTGTGTGAGGCTGGTGTCGCCGGGGCCCAAGAGACGTGGCGTGGTCCCTTGGGTTGATCAATATCGTGCACCCGTTGCAACACCCGGCTCCTCCCCCTCCCCCTCTCCTCCTATCCCTCTCTCCCTCCTCTCTCTCCCTCTCTCTCCTAGCCCCCCCTTTACCCACTGCTTCCCCGCTTCCCTCCCCTTTGCTTGCGCCCCCTCTCCCCCTCTCCGCTCTGCCTCTCCTTGCCCGCCCCCCTCCCCATTCCCCTCCCCCCTCCTGTCCCCTGCTTTGCTACCCTTTCCCCCCCCCTCCTGTTATCCCCCTCTCTCTTACCCCTTCCTTCTGCCTGCTCCCCCCCTCCCTCCCTCTTTTTCCCCTTCCCCTCCCCCCTCCCCTTCCTCTACGCCTGCAGATACGGACGGGCTCCACACACACACCACGCACACGCATATGCACACACACACACACGCACGCACATGGGCATTCAGGCAGACACACACACACACACGTTCGGCTTCGGATGCAGATTGCTTTGGTGTGTGACCACGTCTTTTACTTGTTAATTCTTTTTTTCTCTCTCTCTCTCTCTCTCTCTCTCTCTTCTCTCTCTCTCTTCTCTCTCTCTCTTCTCTCTCTCTTCTCTCTTCTCTCTCTTTCTTCTCTCTCTCTTTCTTTCTTTCTTTCTCTCTCTCTCTCTCTCTCTCTCTCTCTCTCTCTCTCTCTCTCTCTCTCTCTCTCTCTCTCTCTCACTTCACTAACTTTTTTTTCTCTTTTTGTTTACTTTATATAAGATCGACTTCTTAGAACGATGTTTAAAGAGAAGACTATTTGCATAATATGTGAGAGAGAGAGAGAGAGAGGTGGGGAGAAGGAAACGAGATATAGAGCTAAGAAAGAGAAAAATAAAATAGAACTAGAGAGGGAAAGAGAGCGAAATAAATATAAGAGAGAGAGAGCGAAAGAAATACGAGAGAGAGAGAGAGAGAGAGAGAGAGAGAGAGAGAGAGAGAGAGAGAGAGAGAGAGAGAGAGAGAGAGAGAGAGAGAGAGAGAGAGAGAGAGAGAGAGAGAGAGAGAGAGAGAGAGAGAGAATGAGAGAGAGAGAGCACGAAACAAATACGAGAGAGGATAAGGTTAAATCCGGGAACCTGTATAATCACATTTGCTCGCGAGAAATACACGCCGCTCTCTCCGCTCCTTTTTCATTTAATTTCCCTATTCATCGCGGTGTGTCGGCCATGATTTTTCTTCGTTAGCTCCTCCTCCTTTACCGCCTCTCCTTATGTATCCCGTTCCTCTTAATTAATAATGTAATTAGACGAGGAAGTCAGCGGGTCAGCGGAAGTCAGCGGAAGTCAGCCCCTCTTAGTGACCCAAGGGCTGGACACTTATACTGGGAGGGGGGGGGGGGTTATGGGTGGAGGAAGGTGTGTGTGTGTGTGTGTGTGTGTGTGTGTGTGTGTGTGTGTGTGTGTGTGTGTGTGTGTGTGTGTGTGTGTGTGTGGAGGGTTGTGTCTGTATGTGTGTGTGTGAGAAGGGGGGATGGTTGCGTTTGTGGTGTTTTTGTGTTTATATATGACCGTATGTGTTTATGTGTGTGTGTACGTACGTGCGTGAGTGTGTGTGTGTGTGTGTGTGTGTGTGTGTGTGTGTGTGTGTGTGTGTGTGTGTGTGTGTGTGTGTGTGTGTGTGTGTGTGTGTGTGTGTACGTGCGTGAGTGTGTGTGTGTGTGTGCATAAATGTACGTGTGGACGTGTGGTCCTTCGGTATGTGCATGTGTGTGTACGAGAGCGTCCATGCATCTTACATTATGCCCAGAGAAGTGTCTCGGCCGCAGTAACCGCGGATACCCCACGTTGTTAAGGGATCATAATTATATTTTATTCACATGATCCCTACTCTTGGGTAAAAAAAATCCTTTCTCTCTCTTTCCCTCTTTTTTTTTCAAATAATAAAACATCACCCGATTTCCATCTCTCTTAAAGCCTAATACATTCTTCCCTTTTTGCGATAGAAACATTCAAAAGGAAAAAAAAATCGTTTCGCTGCCTCGAAAACAAGAGCGAGCGTGGTAGAATAATGACAGGAGATATTTGCCGACAACAACAATGGCGGCGTCTCGAGGGACTGCGCGGTTATCATTGGTTGGGAGGCAGGACAAAAGACCGCGGTTGGTTCTTCCCGGAGAGTCTTAAGATAAATAATTCTCTATTGGATAGAAAACTTACTTAATGGGTTAGGATATCTCGTGTCTGTGTGTCTGTAGGAAGCACCGAAGGAGGAAAGGGAAGGGAGGGAGAAAAAACGGAGAAATAGATACGCGACCATGACTCCTGTTTCGTATCATTCCTTGGGTATTATTGTTTTTAATATACTGCTTCTATAACCTTTTGTTTTTGGTAAGAAAAAAAGGAGGGAAAAGGGGAGTTTCATCTGTCATCTTGTAGACATTTTTCTCTCTTAGGTTTTTTATTTATTTTTATGTCTTTTTTGAGTTTGTTTTGAGTTCTTAAAGACTATGTAGGTTAGCCTTGTTTTCATAAGTTGTATTTTTAAGGCTTTTGAGTAGGTTACTTTTAGAAAATGGAGGGAAACTTTATGAATAGTGCATCTATCTTTGTGATGTGTGTAAATATATATCTATATTTATATCTTTAACATCATGGTGTTTCCTCTTCAGTACTGAAATCACCGTAAGATAATTTTGATGTGACTTTCTCATATTTCCAGCATGTATCGACCCTGTCATGTCTATGCCAGTGTGTAATAAGTAATAATCTGTTACTTTAATTGCAGGAGTTAGACAGGAACAAGAGATTTACGTGAGAATAATTGACTCCGTGACAAAACAGGTAAATATAGTTTTTAAGATTCCCTAAAACATTTTCTTTATTCGTTTTAATTTGTTATTTTCTTTTCTTTTTATTTGCAGGAATAAGGCAGCAACAAGATATTTATATGAGACTTATAGATTCAGTCACCAAACAGGTATGAGGTTGATGCATAGTAGGGAAAAATCTTGGGCCTTTGAAGATGCTTGTCTATCTCTTGGTTTCTTGTGTTGGTCAATTTTATTTCTTTATTTTCCTTTATTTTCTTTCTTATTGTAACTAACTCAACTTTTTTCTGGATATGATAACCAGTAGATTGGCACGTCTCATTTTTATTTACTGTTTATTTCACGGATTTTCTTTTTTTTTTTTTATTAAATGGTTTTTGATAATATAAGATATTGAAGGAAAAAGATCGTTCGGTTGATCTTCTTGTGCAGTTAGCCGATCGTCTCCCCCCCCTCGCCCTCCCCCTCCCCCCAGCTCTTTCCTCGCTATGACCTAGACCTGATCCGTAAAAATTGAAGTCTGATGGTTTTCTTTCCTCTCCCTTAGAGTAACTTCTTTCCAAAGTCATTTAGAAATCTGGGGCACCTTCCTCTTTTTTTTTTTTTTTTCCCAGCTTCTTTTTTTGCTTTTCTGTTCCTCTTCTTCATCTTTCGTATTCTTGTTCTTTTCTTGACTTTGTATTATTTTTTTTTTCTCCTTTCCTCTCTTCTTCTTCCTCCTCCTCCTCCTTTTCTTCTTCTTCTTCTCTCCCTCTTCTTCTTCTTCTTCTTCTTCTTCTACTCCTCTTCTTCTTCTTCTACCTCCTCCTCCTTCTTCTTCCCTCCTCTTCTCTTTCTTCTTTTTCCTCTTCCTCCCTCTTCCGCCTCTCTCTTCCTCCCCCTCTTCCTTCTCCCAGTAGGCGTATGGCCTATCCTGCGCTGAACTTCTGGAACTTTTCCCAAGACAATGCCTCTCTTGCTTCATCCTCACGGCGCAGTTAGCCAACTCCCGCCATCCCTTTCTTCAGCTCCTCCTTGATAGTTCCTCCAGGACCACCACCACCCCTTCCCCCTCTCCCCCCACTGCCCCTTCTCCCCTCCTTCCACCTTCCCCGCCCTTCCCCTCTTCCCCTCCTCCCGTCCTTCTTCCCTTTTCCCTCTCCCCCTCCCCCGTCATCCTCATTCTCCTCCTCCGTCTGTGTTTCACTTCCTCAATCACGGTACTTGTTACTCTCTTGCAACGGCCGTGAGGAGGGGAGGGGCGGAGAGGGGGGGGGGGAGGAGAGAATACCCATCTGTGGCTGTGGAATCGGGATGGGTAGAAGACCTCGAGCCCGTCTTATATAGCATTCAACCTCAAAATTCATGATTTTGTTGGTTAGAAGATAAACAAAATAATAAAAAAAAATAACCCTTGTTTTTCAAAAGCAAAATTCATTCGTACATTTGATTTGATTTTTTTTTAATATAATGATTCCGGAGACAGACCCTTATGATCCAAGTACTGATTATTGGAGTAAATTAGTGTTTTTTTTTTCTTTCTTTCTTTCCGTAAATGCATCAATACCTAAATGAAGATGAAATTTCCCCAACCGCTACTGCACAAGACATCTTGAGAGACAATGTAGCGTCGAGTGGCTCATGTAGAATACTAAAGAACTAACCGTTGTTTGTAGTTTGACTGATCTCTACCATTTCTGTTGGATCTGTAGTGTTTGGAGTAATAACAGTAACCTGTAACCAAATAGCGTATGTTCACCATGATGTGATAGTTCCTTACTAATGGAGTACTTGTTAGTCTTAGCTGTAGTTCTGTCCAATAAGTGCAAGTTCGTTGTGAAGCTGCCTGGCGTGAGTTGTGTCCATGTAGCACGTGGTGTAGGCCTATGGAAGGAGGCCGTGGTATTGACACAGTATTCCAGGTCACACAATGGCCTCTTGCATGACGATAGAGGAAGGGGCCTTTGCGTGACGTCTTTTGCCTTTAAGAAAACTTGAAGTCTTGCCAATGGCCGGATCACGTGAGAGGCATAAAGAGGGTTACTTTAGGATAATGGCTATATAAATGTGGTGTAAACAGACTCAAGTGCGCCCAAAAAAAGGTGATTGTCACGCAAGAATAAAAAAAACGATTTTTTTATGCCAGGGTATTCATTTATTTGGTTTTATTTCATTGTTATATGTTGAAAATGTTGAAGACCTGTACTATATTCCGTGTGGTGTTGTTGTTTCGTGCTCTTGTTTATTAAAGGGAAATTGTTGCTATCATGTAAACTGATTCAAACGTTTGTTAAATTTTAATGCATAGACGTGATTCTTTTTTTGTCCCTCCAAACTGTTGCATCAATAAAGGGAATAACGCACAATATAATGAAATATAACATGGCGTTCGGTGCGTAGATAAATTCCGTACATTTTTCATGCCCCTTTTCAAAGCCAAAAATTGCCCCTGCCGCTAACCACGATACCAAACTGTCATACCATTGGCTCCATGACCTTCCTTACCCCCTACCCCAACCCATACCCCCCACCCCCTCCATCATACGTCATTGGCTCGTTCCCACGGACATGTTTAAGATCCTATCTGCATAATCCGGTAAAACAGTGTTGCGTTGCCCTTCCGACGCGCCCTTGCCCCCCCCTCCCCCCTTCTTCCCTTCCCCCTTCGCCCCTTCTCCCCTTCCCGTTCCCTCATCCCGGTATCGTCGGCAGCGATCTCCAGCACAGATTATCCCTGTATCCATCATGGTAATGGGAGGGAAAGGAGGAGAATGGGAGGTGGGAAAGAAGAGAGAGAGAGAGGGATGGAGAGAGAGAGCGAGAAATAGAGAGAGAGGGGGGGCAGGAGAAAGAGAGAGGGAAGGAGAAGAGAGAAGGAGAGAGTGAGGGAGGAAGAGAAAGAGAGAATGGGAGAAATAACGACCTGGGATATATTCGAGTCCTCTTGTATTTTTCCGTTCCTGTAAGAGATAGGCTTTTTTTTTGCGATTTTGAAACCCGTTTTTTTTTTCTTTTCTTTTTTTTACTTCTCTTCAAGTGCTTCGTAGGGTTGTAATGCGTTTACTTAAGGGATTTGCAACGTAGCGGTTATTCGCGCGAGGCAGTAACCAGACGGGCGTTCCTCCAGCGCCCGCCGCCGCCCACATCCGGAAAGGACCTTCTGCAGGCGCTGGCCTCGCGGGCGTGTTTATTCTCCGCCATAAGACGCTTTTGATTCATATATCTATTTTTTTTTTCTCCTCCGCCTTCTTCTTCTTTGTTTCTCCGGACGAGCAAAAAAGTTCTTGTTTCTCGAAAAAGAAAAAGGAAAAAAAATCCACATCCTGTTTCTCACGGTTCCTCGAGGACAAAGGTGGGTATTGTGGATGCCGAGTCCTTCAGGAAGCTGCGGCTGAAGGTGGTGTTGTCCGCCTCCTGCAGGACGCGGCCGCTGCACATCTGTGGATCCTCATCCCGGAGGCAACAATGAGCGAGGCAACTCAGCGGGCGAGAGAGGAAGGGATTTTTCTCCTTCGTCGCCGCTCGATGCTCTCGGGTCCGAGACTTTTCTTCCTGTTCCATCTTCTTTTTTCCCACTCCTTCTCCTCCTTCTTCTTGTTCTCCTTTCTCTTGCTGGTTCTTTTGGTATTACTTCTTCCCTTTGCGTTTCTATTTTTTTCTCTCTTTTTTTTTAGTTAGATTTACTTTTTTTTCTCTCTCTTTTCGCTTTCATTACATTTCTCACACCTGCCTTCCTCCACTCCCCTTCCTCCTTGCCGCCCCCTCCTCTACTTCCTTCCTCCCTCCCTCCCTCCCTCCCTCCCCCTCCCCTCCCTCCCCCCTTCGCCGTCTCCTCCGTCGCCATCAGCAGCCCAAGCGAGCAGTGTGCCCCGCGGATGATCCCCGAGCGGCCATGGGGGTGCCACCGATGTTCCTTTGTTTGGAGATTCCCTAAATGTGTTGTAACATTTGCATAAAGATCGCAGGCGCGCACAGATCATCATAATGCTATCAAGGTTGGGAGGGGTCGCTCGGCGCTGCTGCTGCTGCCGCTGCTGCCTCCTCTCGCGCCGCCGGGAAATTGGAGAAGGCGCTGGGCTTCCGCTGCTTTCTTCTTCTCTTTTTGGTCTTTTGTCTTTCTCTCTCTCTTTATCTTTTTTCCCTTTATTCGTTTTCTTTCTTTTTGAGGTTGCTTTTCTGTTTATTTTCTTCTCTCTATTTTCTTTTTCTTTTTTTCTTATTCTTCTGTTTCCATCGTAGGCTTTTAATTTTTTTCCCTCGACGTTTTCTTTGGAATTAAGGACTATGCGGTGCGTGCTGTCGATGTTTCTGGAAGCAGCCGTCATTCATATTAATTGAAACATTAAAGCCTTCGCGTCTTCGGCCAAAAACTTTTTCCAAGGCGAGAGTGCGAGCGATTATCGAAGTGTGAAAGTTTGAAGTCTCACTTACCTTCCCTCCCCCTTCACCTCCTCCTCCTCCTCCTTCTCCCCCCTCGAAACCATTCAGCTGCTGTCGCCCCCACAGTGTAGGCAACCCTGTTTACTCTCTGTGATTTAATCCTTGTGGCGGCTGGCTGAAGAATAGACTCGCTGCAGACTCGTTATCGCCTTTGGATCAGTAAACATGGCCACGCGCTCCCTCCACATGCTAGCGTCCGAGCCTCACTGCCGCTCCCGCTCCCTCCCTCGCGCGCTTTTAAGAGGGAAGCCGTATAATCTAAATCGTTTATCTCCGGGTCGTCTAGATGATTTATTGTTTCCGTTTTCATTCGGTATTGGCGTACTCAAAGCGCAAATAAAAACATTCCATCTCTTCGAATAAGTAGAACGGAAAGAAACGGAAGCTAAATCATCATTCGGAATGCGAAGTGTAGAGAAAAAAAAGAAAAGAAAGGAAAAACAATCGAGAGTCCGACCCGCAAATCCCAGCGTGTAAAGGAGGATCAGCTGAAAGCCAACCAAAACAAAATAGCATCAACACCGCCCGCCGTGACGGAAAGCTAATCTACTTCCCCTTCAGATGTGATCCACTCCTTGTGGCATAATCCTGGCGCTCTGCTGATGCGCCGATAACCGGAACTGATAAGGGGTAAATAGGCCTGATGATTGCTTCCCGGCGGCCTATTACCAGCGGCGAAGCGACCCTTCTAGAAAGAGGAGAAAGAGCGTGGAAGGGAGGGAGGAGCGCA